TATCGCATTTGTTCCATTAACTAGTGAATGGTGCTGACCATTGTCATAATAGATCGCGATTTGCAGTCGTTTAAAACATGCATTTTGCCCAGTCTATTTTTTTTTAAATTTAGCGCACTAGCACAAATTCTAGTCAACGCATGTGCAGCTCTTCATGCTGACGGTGCAGCTCTCCATCCGTGTAATAATTTTGCCCCTCCCACGCCTCCTCTCCCCCACTTCAAAGTTGAAGCAGTCTGGGTTCATCACATTTTGTACACAAAGAGCACAGGGCTAACAGAGTCGCTGATCCAATCCAGTCTTTGAAATCCTTGTTATTCCTATTCACGCAACTTTAATAGAAAGATGCATTAACATCGGATGCAAAAGAACAAAAAGGAAGGCAAGAATTAAAATTTGTAAATTGGTAGAATTATTTTGATGGTAAGAAGTGTCTCAGTCCATTAAGTCGTATACATTTCTTACCGTTATCACAATTGCACCTCGTTAGTAAGACAACTGTGGTGACTGGAGTTAGTAGATATTAAGATTAAATTATGTAATGAATGTCAATAGTAAGAAGTGTTGCGAAAGAAGATTAGTAACAATAATACTGGTTGATTAAATTCATTAATATGTTGGGAAAATTAAGTCTCGATAGCGGCCTACAGTGCCCTTCTAAATGTCGCCCAGCTTTACAGAAAGGATTTCTGGAAAACTACTTAGAAGGCAAGAAAATCAAAGAAGCAAAGTGCACCGCTGTTGTTTTCAAATATGCGTTTTTTGCAGCTATGCAATGCAAAAACGCATATTGACCGTCTGTGTGTGCGTCTGTTGCGCACTTTCATCTCAAGATCTATAAAAGCTGCAGGGCTGAAATTTCGGGAGCTTAATCTGCATGCACGTGCTGACCCCAATCCCCAAAATGGGCTCCATCACCCGCGCGGTATCCGCGTACGGGCCTGCAAAAGTTTTTTTGGGGTAAGTTCATAACTCGGGGATCTGAGAAGATAGAACGTTGAAATCTTAGGGAGATGTTCCCTGTCCAAGTGGGTATTAACGAGTTCAAACCCTGCTCGCTGGTAAGCATGGTACTTGCGTAAGAGCCCGTGAAAGTTTCTTGCAGGTAAGTTGCTAACTCGGTACCGTGAGAAGCTAGAAGGCTGGAATTTTGAAAGGATGTTTCCTGACAGTTCTGGCGGCCAGTATGAAATTCTTTTAGTTAGAAGTATCTGCCAGAAAAACCAGTGCCGTTAGCAATAAAAATCAGCGGGGAGCCCGCACGGGCAGCCCGTGCGTTGGCCAGTTATTTTATCTCTTAAAACAAGTACTAACCTGTGTTTTTGCCAGAAACTAAACTCTTGTTTAAGAACTTCGTATTTCTCCTTAATGAAACTGCGATTTTTTGTTGCTTCGAAGTATTCGTAAGCCATTGGAATCAAAAATGGTGGCTGTGAACGTCTCAAGTAATAGATGCGTCCACCATTCGGCACAAACCCAAACCTCAAATGGATCATTCAATGATTTGTCGCTATCCAGTCACGTGTCACCAACTTTTTTTGAAATACCTAGGATAAAGCGATCGCATCGAAAAGCTTAAGTAGGAAAAAGTCGCATCAGTTCTAATAAAATTTTTCCAGATTTCGATGGTCCGACAAATACGGGCTATATCTTCCACTGCGTTTATGCGTTAGACTCGGACCTTGAACTGCATACCTCCCAAGTTGGTGCCGGCCGTTTATTCAAGAGTCGCCGAGCGGTCGACTACTTTTTCAAAAGTACCATTCACTGATACTGGATTACCACTGACAACATTTCCTTTCCAATTGTCCTTTACTTTCTTGGGTGGTCCCACTGTGATAGTGGACGTTGACACGAGCATACACACCTACCTTTCACTTTTCCACCGTTGTTTCTCTCACAGCTAGAGCTCAGTATTCAGCTTTCGTCAACGACCGCATTTGTATCTATACGTAATTGCCTTCGGATCAGTGAAATTGTTGGCGTAGTCCTTCCGATTCAACATTTCGAGGAGACCGAAGATGCTGTGAACTTTGCGCCAACTGGCACGCTTTCTACGTGCAGTCTCAAGCCAGAGATTATGGTGTATATCTACTTCGTTTTCAAAATGGAGCTGTCAGCACCTTCCAGTTTGATACTATCTGTCGGCAGTTCTCCGCAGGCGCACCATCAAATTACCATCAACGCAATTTTCAGGTCTGCAAAATTACTTCGTGCTTGCGCTCTTGCAGCATCTCGTTTATCTCGCGGGGCTATTTGCAATAAGAACCATGACCTACTCGATTCAGAAAAAGTCGAGGAATATGTAAAAAAAAAAATACTTTTTAACGCACTGAGCGAAATTATCTATCATCATCCATGCATTCTCCAAAAGTCCGCTAATGAGTAAACCTTTTATAATCCAGTACGCGTCCCAATAATAATATTCTATGAAACGCCCTCCCGGCACGATAAAGGCATGCTGTACGCGGATCAAAGAATGCCGTTCCGGATGTTCGAACTTCTTTATCTAAAACTTCATATTTTGGACTAGAACAGAACAGCTCTCAATACATGGCTGCAAATTCGGACCGGGTTAGATTTCTCTCTTTCTTCCGAATTTGCCTCTAACGGCTCTCCT